TATTCATCTGCTGAATACATTACCTTTTGACTCTGGAAGTCCTTTTCTCTCTTGGCACTGCCACTGAGGCCTTTTACAGCACCTCTTCGAGATAAAACGGCCCCGTCTGGCTCCTCTTGGTCAGAAATGAGAACTTGTTTAGTCTGGATGCTGGCTGGACATTGGCTTCTTTCAGTTTCTGAATCTGTGCTGCTAGCTGAACCACTCGTGGTTCCCTCCACTTCATCCACTGGACTCTTCTCCTCAGAAGACGTAGTCGCACTGTGGTCAGAGGTCACAGAGTCCGTTCGTTTCCGTGACAACAAGCTGATGTCATCGAGGGTCCCAGACCCTAGACGAGGTCTGACATGACATGAATCTGAGCCCATTCTCTGTCTGGCATAAGATGATGAGCTTATGCTTTGCTCTGAGCCAGCAGAGTCCAGACGACCCCGCTGTGAGGAACTTTGGCTTCTGTCTGAGGCTCCAGAGTCCAGCCGGGCTCGGAAGTTTGAACCAAGACTCTTCTCCGAGGCCACAGAATCTAGATTAGACATGGAGCACACAGAGGTGCTGCTGTGGTCCGAAGCTGTGGAGTCTGACCGTAGATGGTAGGATGGAACCAGGTCTGGCTCTGAGGTCACAGATTCTGCTGGAGGATGGATCAGCAGAGGTCTGGAGACGTCATCCTTCACGAGGTTGTCTAGAACCAGCACCATGCCTGAGTTGGAACCTGCAACAGTAAAGTGAAGTGGGGGTTAACGTATGGGAGCAGTGGATGGTGAACATGTTCAAAGTGAACTGATAAAAGTTAAATACTTCCGCAGCCGTGAGGCCCAAAGAGAGGCCAGGCCAGAAAATATCAGGATCATAGAGGATGCATGTGGAGTCATAAGAGGATGTAGACATTTCCTGAACTCAGTTCCTGACTTGAGATTTCAGAGATTATGATGGTGGATGTATGTAAAAAAAAAAAAAAAAAAAGAAAGAAAAAAAAAGCAGCAGCATGTGGCACAAGGAGCTGAGAGAAAAGCGGAAGCTAAAATAAGACTAGAGACCAGTATTTCCCCTCCCCTTCATCTGAGCTTTTTTACTGCTCCTTCTCTCACCAGGAAACCACACTCCAAACAACAGAAGGACCCACATCCTCCTCCCTGTGAAACTTTCTACCTCTAACACCCCTTTGTACTGCTGTGTGATATGATGTTTGAGGTTTTAAATCTACCACATAAAGAAAACAACTTTGGCATTACATGTAAATAAAATCACTCCTGAATGAACCTCATTTGCACCAACTTTGTAATAAAATCTCCAACTACACAGGGTTGGGATTTACAAACCAGATCAAAGACGGACTCTGGTCTGGTTGAAGGCAGCTCTGTCTCTTTCAAATTTACAGAATCCAGATGAACATTTACCATTTAATGATCATCATCAGCTAATAACAAACTAACACACTTAACATACTTTAAAAAAAAAAAGCATTTTAGGACAGAATGGCAGCCAAACTGTTGACTACACAGATTAGATGATTATGTAAAAAGATCTGAATAGAAAAAGTGATTAGGCTACATAATTAGGACGTAGCTGCCATTTTCACATTACTTGTAAAGCGCCGCTGAACAACGTTGTCTAAATCTAATGATGCTCTTTGCTAAAACTCAATTACTGGTTAATTGTAACTGAAGCGAGAGCCACAACCTGATGCTTCTTCAACAAAAATAACCTCATGCTACTTTTTAATGGTTTGCCAATTGGGACATTTTCTATTGTGAGATGATTTCTAGGAAAATCCCCACTGCTGCTGCATAATGAGAGACTTGTTTTTTTGCTTTAAAATAGCCACAAAAGCTGCAGTCTGTTGCCAGAAAGTAAATAAAGCAGAAACAAAAAACAGCCAAGAGATTTATTTATATAGATTTTACAGTGAAGCTCTGACCCAATGTGTCTTCACAGTGAACTGGAGGTCAGGACAAGTGGTTTAGAGTTTTCTTCACCAGTTTAAGATCAGTGTTATATACTAGCTTTGAACTATCAGGTTGAATAATTTATTTGAAATTGGTGCAGAAAAAAATGAATACATTTATCTTTATTGCTTCTTCCATACATATTTAACCAAATGTTCTTAATTGTTTTTTTTAATTATTGATCTTAAAAAATTAAACAATTCGCCAATTATTTTCTATTTTGAGAAATGTGATGGAACTTTTGTCAAAGCAGTTTTGCAAACTTTTTACCATAATTTTGTTTAGAGAGACCCAAAATATAGAAAATGAGTTTTGCTAACATTAAAATAATATTTTTCCCCTTGACCTCAAATTATAAAATGGGTAAATACTTTAAAAAGGATCTCAGATCAATCTCTGACATGTTGCATTTGTTTCCTTTTAATGAAATACAGTAGTCCCTCGTTTATCGCAGGGGGGTCCATACCCTGAAGACCTGGGATAAGTAATAAACCACCAAGTAGGAATAGTAGTACAAGTAGGCCTGTCATGATAACAAATTTTGCTATGATTAACTGTCTCAGAAATTACTGTGATAAATTATAATATTGCTTGAAATTTAACAATAATTAATTGTCAAATTTTTGAAAGAAATGTTGATTTGTTTGGAGTGTAGTACCTTTTTTGACCACCTGATGGCAGTATAAGACCGTTTGAACCAAGCCAGCAGATACCTACTTGGATGGATGAGCATCCTGTCTCTTTAAGAAACATGGGAAGGAGGGTCCCTTGGTGACATGGGCTGACAAGGCAGACAGTGTGGTTTGAGCTCTTTAGCATAGCATTTTTCACACAAAGCTTTTAATTAAAAAAAATAATAAAATCAGTAAACAAGTTCTCAGCTTCTTTTTGCAAAAAAAAAAAAACTTTTTACACGGGTTTCAACCGTGAATTTTGGAGCTCAACAAGACAGAGGTTTATTCCCAAGGTCGGCCTGTTAGCTTAGCTCGTAGCTTAGCTGCTTTTAACAATCCAAAAACGCAATTTTGGACGGTTAAAACCGATTTTAAAGAGAAAGGGAGGGGTTAATGAAGAGCACTGGAGTTGAGCCGTGTCTTCGGTAGAAAGAGAGAGACACGAAGAAACGATAAAGCCAATAAATGAAAACAAGGTTGATAGTTTTCATTTATCATGCGATTAATTGATTTATTGTTTATTGCGACAGGCCTAAGTACAAGTAGTAAGCAGTAGTTTATTTTTGTATTTATATATAAAAGCATTTTAATGCAATATTCTAAAGAATGTTTCTGAACTCTAAACGCCCACTTCTCCGCTCTGCATGGAGAACGGCTGACCAGCTGCAGGAGGAAGCTTATCCTGCAGTGTTGGCTGCACAAAGGTGCAGGAGGTGCTAAATAA